TTGGATGGGAGCCGCGTTGGGCTGTCTTCGTTGAGGACTGCGAAGGGAGCTTTCTCTAGCTCATCCGCCAGGACTTCTAGTCGTGTCATTGCCTATGGTTTTCCCACCTGCTGCCATGTCTCCCCTTGCTTTACCTGAAAATCGCCGTCATCTGCGCACACACTCGATCAGATGGCAGTTACTCTCCCCATCAGCCACCGTAAAGTGATTCTTCCTAGTCATCCGCTCGCACATATTTTCTAAAGCTTACAGTTAACATTAACCTAAACACCAACCGTAACCCTAGCCTAAAACTAAATCCCAAACTTAATCCTACCTCTAATCATAAACTGAAGCCTATTTTGCTTCGAATGTGGTGCAAGGACACCTCTATTGCGGGCGGTCCTCGTTCTCCTGTCGTGCTCAGATGGGGCTTATTAACCATTCTTATCTACTTAATTAATGATTATTCGCCGCTCTGTGACAACCTCTAGGGATTGTGGCCTGGGGCTGAAAGTTAAGCACGGTTTCCATATTCCGTTTGCGTCAACTCTGTGAATACAACAGCCGCTTTATATAATATTGTATGGTTTATGACCCATAGTAAATGCTAGTATTTCATTTTTCCACGCGATTAGGTTTTCTCTGTGAATGAGCTCCAGAAAATAGCAGATTTATGTATTCGGCACAACCTCCTCTGCATCTCCGACGAGGTCTATGAATGGATCGTGTTTCCACCGAACAAACACACAAAAATAGGTGAGGGTCTTCTTACAACTTCCGTTTTTCCTTAAGCACGCCAGATGCTCTTTATGCCTATGTACACAGCATTTATTTCTCACCGTTTGACTACAGGACTCACTAGTCACATGATTTTCAGATGCCATATCCTTTGGTACATTTTTATACCTCATTTCAGGAGGTATAAGGCACACAGACGAAACCAGATAGTTCCAATCAGGTGCCCAAAACAAATAGATGGGGTCCCTATTTGTATGGAGAATGTAATAATAGCGAAAATTCGATTTCCAGTTGGTGAGTTAGAAGGAGAAAGAGCGTTCACTGAGAGATATATATTTGATACCTGCCGTTTTGGTTGATTGTCTCGTCTGTCCATCTTCAGAGGGTGAATATTCTGGCTCCTGGTTCTCGACACATGCCCCTCTTTTCTTCCGTGTGCGTGACCTGCCAATCCCAGTCCAGCCGCTTTATGTGCCTCGCTTCTTGCTGTCGGTTTTCTCGTTGACCCTGTCTGTAACTGGGGCGCCTGTATTCGGCTTGTATCCCCGTGTGTCGCGTCAGCCTCCGTCTCGCAATGTCCTGCTTCATGGACATGCATATTGGTCGTGGAGCTAGTTGGCGGCCCCGTTTGTTCCACGCTGTGACTGTCCCCTGATAAGAATGTTTTTAATACAACATAGGGGACAGGCAAATTTATGTGGCGGTTTACCGAACAGTCTGTCGACATCCAGACTCGTTTAATTTGCCTTTATGTGTAACCGTTACCTCGTTCCACAATTTCAAGGACGTCAAAGTTGAAGATGTGCTCTATCTCTGCAGTATGGGTTGCTACCTCCGACCTTGGATCCAGCTTGACTTTCATGCATTCGCATTTTTGGCTGCTAGCCGGTTTTTCCAGCGTAGTTGCATATCCCGCAACTGCATTGACGTCGGTAGACAACACCTGGTTTTTCCGGCTTTGGAATAGGGTCTTTCGGCCGCATCACTTGTTGGCGGATTGTGGAGGCAGGCCTGTGAACAACTCCTATTCCGAGAGGCGCGAGGGATCTAGCCACGATTTCGGAGACGCCTTTCAGGTATGGGATGCTCCGTGACGCTTTCGGTAGGCAACGCTCATCGGTTCACGTTTTTGGCGGCATTCGATTCCGTTCGATGAACGCTCATGGATAGCCGTTAATTCTGAAAGGCTCCCGGAGGAACTTCACCTCGTTCTCTTTGGCGGCTGGCGTACTGCAGTGAATTTCTATCCGTCGATATAGCGTGTGTTTATAACTTCGCCTGTGTTGCAGTGTGTGGTTGCTATATTAACTCAATATTTGCATAGTGTTTGTTGGTTTAGGGTAGATAAACTTCGCTATTTTGCCGTAAGAAACGTTAACTTCTGGAATAACCAGTTGGCCAGTTCTTATGTGGGCGTAAATGGGAGAGAGACAACTGGCCACAGGAGCACATCCGGCTTGTGTACTTTTGGGAAGTCGTAGAATTGTGCCATGGCTGCTTCGGTGCGCTTTGCCATGTACCAGTCTTCAATGGTGATGACCTTTTCTTTCTTTAGTTGACCCAGAGTTCTGCTCACTTTTGCCAGTAGTGGCTTCAGGCCGGCGGCGTCTCTGACCATTTAAGACTCTCGATCATTGAGGAGCGTTCGGATTTTGTTTTGGTACTCAACTTTATCGAGTACAACCGTTGATCGGCCTTTGTCGACAGGCAAAATAACTATTTGAGTGTCTGCTTTTAACTCCCTGGGGGCCTTTTGTTCTTCTATAAGAAGACAACTTGTCAGAGCTAACGGAAATCCACGAGCGTTCATCGAACAGAATCGAATGCCGCCAAAAACGTGAACCGATGAGCGTTGCCTACCGAAAGCGTCACGGAGCATCCCAAACCTGAAAGGCGTCTCCGAAATCGTGGCTAGATCCTTCGCGCCTCTCGGAATAGGAGTTGTCCACAGGCCTGCCTCCACAATCCGCCAACAAGTGATGCGGCCGAAAGACCCTATTCCAAAGCCGGAGAAATCAGGTGTTGTCTACCGACTTCAATGCAGTTGCGGGATATGCAACTACTCTGGGGAAACCGGCCGGCAGTCAAAAAACGCGAATGCATCAAAGTCAGTTGGCTGGCACACGGAAGAAAAGAGCGGCATGTATCGAGAACCAGGAGCCAGAGTATTCACCCTCTGAAGATAGATAAACGAAACAATTATCCGAAACGTCAGGTATCAAATAAACCGCTCCCGGTTAACGCTCTCTCTCCTTATGACGAATGCGTTTGAAGCCGCTGAAAGACACTTGCGGAATCATTAAATGAAAGTGAAGAGTACATTTCCGTTTCTTGATAAGAAAAAGTCGTTTAAACATCCTGTACAATGCCTGTAATGCCACATACTGTAGCCAAACGGGAAGGTCCGCCTTCACACGTATTCATGAACATCGACTGGCAGTGAATAGGCATGAGCCTCTGTCCGGATTGGCCATGCGCACTCTTAACACAAAACACATCGCCTGGGAAAAAGCTCGCATCGTCGGAGTCTGTCTCTCCAAGTAAGGCGGGCAGCTGAAGGATAAGTCGGCATCGACTTTTCCAGTGTTATCTGGTTTTATCATATTTAATTATACTCAGTTTTTTTCGGGAAAAATTTCGACCTCATAGAACCCGTTTTTTGTGTTACAGCCTCGTTACCTGGCATGTGGGAGCGCACTCTAACGATAGGCAGTGCTGGAAAGACCTTTAACGTCACTGGCTGGAAGACCGGTTGGACAATCGGTCCGGAGAGGCTTATTGCGGCGATGCAAAGCATCCAGGAATACACCATTAACTCCTGTCCAACGCCCATTCAAGTATGTTATGCCAACATTTATTGTGCAAACTATTCCGTTTACCACGCAACTATACGGTGTTACTCATTAGTTTAGTATATTTAGGGTTAATATGCATTGCCTTTGAAGGCCCTTTTAAGAACGGTACAATATGTAACTTACAATATAAATGTTACTATAAAGTAGGGAATAACCTATCGATTTTTACATAAACACGTATGGAAAAGTGGGGAGTAAGGTGCGGGTCGCCTGAAGGACCGAGGATTATTTTAAATATATAGATATCATCGTTATCGGTAGGTATGAGCAATGCATTGTTTTTGTGTAATAGTGCTTTCTTGACAAATCGAACGGTATCTTTCAAGTAAATATGCATCTAGCTTATGTTTGAATGCCTCTGTTGTGTCCGCCATTATAATCTCCCCGGGAAGTAAGTTCCGGACGCTGAAAACTCGTTGCGCAAGTGGATGTCTGAGAACACTTAGGCGAAATAAGATTCCCCGAAGTTTGCGAGAGTTCCCACACAGGTTTTGTACTTATAACAAATGCAGAAAAGATACATATGTTTCCTTGTGCGCTTTTCGTAGTGTTGTTTTGGGAGACGACTGGAAAGAACATTGGGATTATTTTGCACGATAATTAATATTGAAGCACTTTTTAAGTCATGTCCTCCAATGGAAAACACATTTCATGGTTTACTTTAACACTTCATAAGATTGCGCACCTACTGCACAAGTTATCCCTGCTGGACTCAGCAGGAGCATTGCTCCAATTTCCACTTGGCACGACTGTAATGATGCCTCGACCGAGCCGGTCTGTATACCTCTCTGCAGGTATTGCGACCTGCATATGCGGATCCAAACTCGCTGACGAACTGTCTCGAGCGGAATTTATTTGCTGGTTGTTACCGCTAGCGTTGTTCCTGCAAGGAGGCGATAGCCGGGGAGCCTATTCAATGGTTATTCACTGATGCCGACGACGGTTCGACTATCCATCTGACTAGATCAACTGCGTGCTCCACAGCATGGTGGTGCAGGGACTGCGCTTTGCGCGTGGATTAGTTTAAAGTGGTATTCGACTTGCGCTGTATCTGCCGCACTCTCTGTTCCCTCGCGCTTGTGCTCGGTGTCA